GACCTGCTAAGCTCTAGATATCACTTGTAATATTGTACCTCAAAATTTTTTATTTCTTATGCTTTTTTTGGGGGGAGGTATGGGGGAAGGCATTAAGCATTCTTACCAAAATCAGGAAGTTTTGCAAGTGTTCTCACTTTCTTCCTTAAGCAACCTTCTGTTTTAACTAAAAAAAACCAAAACAAAAACAAAGAAGAAAACAAAATAAAGAATCCGAAAGAAGTGGAAATAAAATTGTTAGTACAATTGAAAGAACAATTTGGTAAAATAACTGAGTACTTTAGAAAAAACTGTTTGAACTTTTGTTGATATGAGAAAACTAAGCTATGCTTAGTTTTGAATGTGCTAAAAGTTTTTTTTCCACAGACCATTTTGAGTTGGAAGGGTCTGACAAGGATCATCGAGTCCTGTACAAGTGCCTGCTCATACATGGTCCCACATCACAAATTAAGTCAGTTATTATAAATATTATCCCCCCCAATCTTATTTCCACTCTTTTTAAGCATTTTTCGAAAAAAAAAAATTCAAAAATTAAGTATTATTACAAAACATTACTGCAGACTGAAAGTACAATGAACAGAAACGAATTCCCAATGACCTGCTAAGATCTGGACATCACTTGTAATATTGTACTCAAATTTTTTTATTTCTTCCACTTTTTTGGGGGTGGGGGGGTGAGGGAGGCATTAAATGTTCTTACCAAAATCAGGAAGTTTCACAAGTGTGTTCAATTTCTTCCCTAAGCAACTGTCTGTTTTAACTAAAAAAAAAGAAAAAAAGAAGAAAATAAAAAAAACCAAAAAAGTCTGACAGAAGTCAAAATAAAATTATTAGTTTAAAAAACAATTAGGTAAAATAACTGACTAACTACTTTAAAAAAACTCTTTGAGCTTCTGTTGACATGAGACAAGTAAGCTATGTTTAAGTTAAGTTTTGAATGTGTAAGAGATTTTTTTCACAGATTCACAGACTGTTCTTAGTTGGAAGGGACCCACAATGATCGAGTCCATCATTCAGTCCGAGGACTGAACCCATGACCCTGGTGTCATTAGCACCATACCCCAAAAGATAGACAAAAAACATTCACACCAAACAACAAAGAAGTTATTTATGTCAGGCAATTCAATGTAGCAGGCAAAGGGGAAGATCAATCAAATTCAATGTCCTTAAACATTTCAGGGCATCCAGGATTTTCAGGACATTTATTTCAGCAGCATACAGCTGCTAAATATTTCATCACTTAAATCTCCTTTACAGACCAAAAAAAAAATTCTCAGATCAGGTAAGTCCAATGGCTATGTCTGACTTGAACAACAACTTTGAAACAGAATTCTAGGAGCAGTGAACTGTAGAAACCTGAAAATACATTTTGTGCATCATGAAACCAAATTAAGAGATTGTGAATTAATTGTGAATATAGTTAGACCTTCACTCCTTCTGGAATTAGACCAGGTCATCAAGACCCAGGGAACGTTTAATGATTTATTAAACCTATTAAAAGTATTAAAAATCTTAATCAGCAGAAGCAAATTAACCCCTTTTCAAAAACAAATATGAAATATATACAGTATTTCTACATGCTTTAAGTAGCATAGGTTTTTAAATTATATTTTAAATTTTGAAGGTCTCTAATGTCTTGAATTCTTTAGGGTTTCTCAAAAATTTAATGTAGGTGATTTTTAGTATTCTAGCTAGCACTTGTTATTCAACATTGCATATCTCTTGGTTACATTACTGATTGATTAGGTAGTTGTATTACTAAAAAACACAAGCCAGGTCTTAAAGCACAAGTCTTGAGAAAGTGTCTTTCTCATTTGTTTCATAAACAGCTACATTGAGGTGGGGACAAAGACGCAGGTAGAGAACACAGCAGGAAGCAAAAAATCTCGCACTTACCCATGCCATGAGCTTTCAATGCTTCTTCAATCTAAATTACCAAGTTATCAACCAACAAAGAAGAAAGACAGTTAGGAGTCAAAAAACAATAATGCAAAGCATTCATTATATGTAAAACAAGTTAGACTAATACCAACAGCATAGACTGTCTCGGGTGAACAATCACGGGAAAATTTAAAAAGAAGAACATCCCTTTGTCTTCTGGAGAATGTCTGTGATTTAAGTAATTCCATGCTCCCTTTATTAACAGACATGTATTCTCATGTACATAAAGTCGTAACATTTTCTGACAGGACTAAAGTACAAAACCAAGTTCTACTTTATCATGGTAGGAAAAGCAGTAAATTAGAAAAATTAGTTAAATATCTGAAATGGTATGTTTCAACATACATTAAAAACTAGATTTCAAATCCCATAATCTATTGCTAAATAAATTGCTAAAATCTGACAAAAGGTGCGTTCAAAAACTGATCTTACCGTCTTGTGTTTTGTTCCAAGGAAGTGAGTCTGCAAGTTTAATGCAGAAGAACACCAGATTTTGCAAATCTAGATTAAAGAGAAGTATTTCTAGCATTGCACACAGAACAAGAGAAATAAAATTCCACTGATATCAAAACGGATAGACTATCAAACTGTTGGTATAGGTTAAATTCTACAAAAAAACTACTACATCAGAGACAAACTAGAGGAGCCTCCTAAACTGAATTTTATAAGGCTCCAAGACCACCAAAACACAGGTGGAATGAACCAGAGCCTCCACATCATGTCAGGATTTCAGATGCTCCAGAACTCTGCAGCTATCTCATAACACTTTCTGTGTGGATAGGTGATGACAGATCCAAGACCTTCCTCGCACACTCTAGAGGATGGGTGAGCCACAGGCACGACATAATTGTGACAAGCCAGGACATCTGCCTGAGGTGAGCCAGTTCCCCTCAGTGCTGCATCCACACTAACACACTTACTCTGATCAGTTCAGGGCCTGCCTCGCTCACTTTGGAAAACTTCCCCATCACAGCTATTTTATGCCTGGGCCAGCTCAGAACGGGAGCAGACTGGGTTTAAATTCACATGAATGAACAGCATCAGCCCAACTATTTTCTTTCCCTCTAAAAATCCCAGTATGCTTTAAAAAAACAGCAATAAATCTGACAACCAGAGAAATCAGGATTTTTTGTTCTGAACAGGAGCTACACTGAATCATCCACGTTTAAAAATAATGTCTTTCTTTAGAAATATAATATTATTCATTTTAATATGCAATTCTTAACACACATCCAAGTCAAACGTGACAAAGTTCACCAAAATAAGTTCAGCTCCAGTGCTATTTACCAAGCTTGCTCAAGAGGAAAGAAAGAACGTTCACACTTGCTTTAGTACAACTTTGGTCCACCAAAATCACTTTGTATTAGTTACAATTTTCAGTAATTAATACTTACATTGCAGTAAAAGGGGTTTACTTGCTTCTTTATTTCGTTTTCACGGTCCATATTCAGTCTTTAGATGATAAAAAACTCTAGGAAAATTGCAGAAAGTTTGCAAAGTGTTGTTTTAGCTTCACAAAATTTACATTTTTCTTCCGCCTTATACGAGGGTCGGGCACATTCCAGCTTTAATTTGTGCCCTGCCCTGAGTTATATTCAAGCATTAAATTTCCAGGCTATTGATCCTATTTTCAACTCCAGAGCAAAACTACAGCATGGGAAGAAACAATTGTTCTCCGCGAGTTTCCCTCGGGAAACATTAACGTCACCAGAAGATTACGCAGAACAGAAACTAATGAAACAAAAACGAATCCGGACCATTTCAAGCTTCCCCCTTCTTTCCTGGGATAGGACAGCGCGCATGGGCCGGGATACACGACACACATCGGGAACAGCCAGCACGCAGTGCCCGGGGCGTGCGCGGGGAACGGGAGGCACATGGCGGGGTTTGGGAAGAGGGACGCGCTCCCACCCGCACCGCGGCGGCGAAAGGAGGAGGGAAGGAAGGAGGCAAAGGAGCGAAGGAAGGGAAGAAGGGAGGCCCCGAAGCTCCGAGCCCCACGCCAAGAGCGCCCTTCCCGGCACTTCCATCCCGCCGGGATGGACACAGACACCGCTCCCGCCGGAGCCGGGAGACCGCCGGGCCGCTGGACACGACTCACCGCGGCGGGCGCAGTACGGCAGCGTCCAGAGCCCGGAGGAGCCGAGGGCCCTCCCCGCTGCTGCACCGGCACCTGCCACCGACCCGCTTGTGCGCCACTCCGGGCGCACAAGAGACACGGCAGGGTTTCGGGAGCCCGGCCTGACCGGGGCACGGCACCGCGGTACCGCGGGCCAGCAGCGGGCGGGGACGGAGGCGGGGAGGGGGCCGGGGCGGCCGCGGCACCCTCCGCCTTCCCTTCCCTTCCCGCGGCCGCCGCTGGGGGCGCTGGCGCGCAGGCGCGTCGGGCCGCCGGGCGCTGTCGGAGGTAAAGCCCGAGCTGGGTCCGCGACCGCCGCACCGGGGCGGGGATTCCCCATCCCGCTCCGCTCCGGAGCCCCGGCATTGGGATACGGATGGGCACGCCGCGCTAGGGACGTGCGTCCCTGCAACTCCGCCCGCGCCCGGTGCCGGCGGGGCTGCCCACCCCCTTCCTGGCGGCCGCTGCGTGTTCGCACGCCGCTCCCCGCAACACACACAGACACGCGCGCGCATCTCCCCACGGCCGCATCCCCGCAGCACCGCCGCACCTTCAGGCTCGGGATCGCCCGGGCCGGGTGTCCCCGCGGCACGGCCCGGCACGGCCCTGCGGGTTTCCCGCAGGAGAGGCCGGCACCGCGCCGCCCGTGCTGCGGCGGGCGGGAATCCAGCGCGGGGTTTGCGGGGAGCTGGAGGGAGCGGTGCCGGCGGCCTGCGGGCGGGGAGGTGAGGGAGGCGGGGAACCAGGGAGGGAGGGAAGGAGGGAGCCGAGAGGCGCTTTGTTACGAGGAGCCAGCGGGGCCGCAGGGTGGGGTTGTCCCCGGCGCCGGTCCCCGCGGGCGCTGGGTGACAGCGGCCCGCCCGCCGAGCCCCCCCCGCCGCCGCCGCCGCGGCTGATGCGCCCGCACCGCGCCGCAGCCCCCGCGCCCGCCCGGCGGGGAGCGGCCGCCTTTGTGGAGCCGGGACCTGCTCTCCTTTCTCCTTCGAGCAGAAGAGGAGCTAGCGAGGAGATTAACAAAAAGAACCACCAAGCTCGAGTTAATGTTTGAGAAGTTCGGGTGCTGGAGAGTCTGGTAGGATTCCTGTATTATGCCTATTTTTTTATGGATTTCAGGCAGTCGTTCGGAATAACAACCCGCATCCATTACCTTGCGTGCGGGAAGTGCTTTGGATGTCCTCCATAGGTAGCGGGATGACCCGCTTAAAAATCTATCTGTGTGTATCTGTAGTGTAATATGATACAGATACGTGTATATTTTAATACATTTCCGTGTATAGCTGTATAAAATCTGACAGGAGAAATTTGGGTAAAGTACTGTGGATTTTACTAATAGATTATCTTGTTTGTTTTCTGGACGATCCATAATAACTATTAATTTGTATTAAAGTGTGGGGGGAAAGCACCAAGGAGGTGGGATTTTTTAAAAATCTGATTAAAACACATTTTCTGTATAGATCTTATTCATATTTGCAATGTGCTCTTAATTACCTAGCGATTTCAAGTCTCAAGGTAGGCAGGGTCAGGCCTGGAACACTCATGGAAGCTCGGTGAGGAAAACCTAACATTTGAGGAAGAAGAACACTGTTTACTGCTGGTTCTGTCATTCAAATGAAATATAAACCTGTTGTGACTAGTTTGGGTCATTGCATTTCTATGCCTTTCTTTCATCCTCAAACACTGGATGAAAAGGACAGAATTATATTTGATTTCCAATGTTGTTAATTACTAGCTATGTTTAGAGCTTCACCTGAAATTTAACTTAGAGACATAAATTTTATTTTTATCTATCCTTGACTATTTCTGGTAGTAATTCTGTTGGCACTGGTCAGTGAACTTAATTTTCACCCCTTAAGTGACCACAGTTTGCTAACTATTTTCTTTGGGCTAGGTTAGTGTAACCTTTTTAACATTTGGGATAAGTCTTCCTCCATAACTTTCTCTGCAATTTCCTATGCCTAAAAAAACATTTCATTGACTAAAAATACTCACACATGCAAACTTAAACTGATTTTTTTTTTCCTTTTACTGGGTTTCTTTGCAACTGATTGGAGCTTGGGTGTCTGTTTAGATGTGTGCAAGCAAAATAATGCACGTGTGTGACATATTTATGAACATGTGTGCATTTCCTAACTTGTGTAATTTTTTCAAGCTATTCTTCCAGCAGATAACATCTCATGCCTTATAGTCTTTAACAGAAGAATGCTGCACAACATTTCACAGTAAAGATGAGGAGCTGAGAGATATTTCTGTTATCTTAAAGCTGTAGAGGTTTGTGTGAGAGGACAAATACTTAGGACACTGCTTTTTTTTAAGGCAAGTTGTGAATTGAGTCATGCCAGGAGAAGATAAAGAGGATAAAGTGTTTTCTTACTGCATGTGTCTTGGAGCCTAGGCACCTGTAAGAGTGGGAGAAGCTTTCCATTCTTTGTTTCTTAGAATTTACTCTGCAACTGTCCTCATATGCCCACACAAATCAATCAGGTTTATGGGATGAGCTATACACAGTAAACTACTTTGATTTCAGCACAGATTCCTACCTGCTAAATTATATCCCAGGCATATGTCCTGGGAGGACTGATTAGCCTCAAAATGGAAATTCTGTGGGCTTGTGAGAGTCCTTTCTCCTATTCTGCAGAGGATCCAGTGGGCTGCAAGGAGGTGAATAATATGTAAAGAAAAAAGAGGTGAATATAAATACATGGTGGAATACATTCTCAGTATTTTAACTTCTCCTGACATTTCAGAATGCTTTCTTGTTCACCTAATTGCAAATGGGCTTTAATACATTGAAGAAAGTAGGCTAAGCATGTAAGAACTTGAGAAGAGTCTTCCAAAACTCTTTTCTTCTCTGTATTAAACTGTCCACACCAGTTCTTGAGTTTCTTTCTGCATCTTAGATCATAATCCTGGCTTCTTCACAGAAAGAACACAAGTACAAGTGTCTATGTTTAGGAAACAAATACTAGGAATGTGATTAGTGGAAGGAAAGGCCAATATATTCTTCTCAGTGTAGGACTTACGTTTCCATTCTTTAATGTTTAGTATTTGAACTTATGACTGGGGATCTCAGATGCTACCACAGTAAAAATAATATAAGTAAATGATAATGTGGTGGGAAAGTGATACTTAAATTTGCTCCATCCACGAAAGATGAGCTTTTATTCTAGTACATAATTTGTTAATATATCAGAAGTCATATTTATAAATGTTTTAGGTATTTACTGACATCAGCTGATCTCAGCCAATCTGTGGAGCTAGATATTTAGCACCTGGAATCCAGAAGTCCTTGTTATGTTGTTTAACTTTTTAAATGTAGTCTCCAAAGTTCTGAAAATCCAGTTTTTCTTAATAAAGGGATTTTCTAAACATAAACATGTAATTTTTTTTTTGTCTGAGATTCGCTCACCTTTTCAGAACAAGCAAGATTTACATGCATCAATAGATGGTAGAATCAGTCCTTTCTGATCACATGGAGTGATCCTGGTTTTTCAGGGTCATAAGCTATTGGGCCTTGCAACTTGCTGGTGGGACTGCATTTCATCCCATTCCTTGGTGGAATTGGGGTTAAGATAAAGAACCAGTATTTAGTCCCAAGAATTTCATTTCAGCATCTGCCCAAAGCAACTTAATGCTTTGGAATGGTGCAATAAGTATGTAAGTAAAATAGATTAGTAGATACATTCTATTCCATTACAGTTCTCTTTTATTTATGTGTTTTCAGGGTGGTTTCATCGAGCAAACTTGCCAGTATCTTAGCTAGGATGTCAATTTCCTAAATACTTTTTCTCCTCCTAATTTGTGTTTTATTTAAGGAATTCCTGAAGCAGCTGTACACTTCTATTAGACCTAGACATTGTAATGACTGGTATGCAATGAAAGAAGTTTCTTTACTTACACCTATTTTGTTCTGTGAGTTTGTAGCTGTTTGAGAATTCCTGCCATCAACATGAGGGGTGATTTAAGTTTTCACAGGCCATATGATATAACTTGATACAGTGTCACAGAGGAAATATTGGATCAAGAAACTGTCTTCTTTATGCTCAGCCATTCAGCTCTCTTTCTTCTTCCTCCTTTTCCTTTCATGTAAAATAAACCAGCTTTTCTATGAGCAGTAGCACTATTACATTCTGTTTTCCTGTGGGTCTCTCCCTTATCCCCTAGATCCTGTCTGCTGCAAAAGCTTCAGCTCTCCATGTCCTTGGACACCAGGATTCAGTAAGAGACAGCAGACCTGTGACTGTGCTGTCCAGGACCCACATAGGTGCCCAGAGATAACCCAGTCAAGTGCTGAGAGAAGGTGCAAACCAAGTGTTTGCTGCCTTTTTCAGTAGATTTGACCTATTGACTTGACTATTACTTACTTTTATTCACTTTGCTTCAGTTTTGCTATTCCAGGCTTTGTTCCACTGTGTTCCCTGTTCTTTGACTTCTTTGTTTTGCTGGCATCATGGCTTAACCCCAGCCAGCACCCAAGTACTGTGCAGCTGCTTGCTCACCCCTTGCCCTCAGTGGGGTGGGGAGGAGAATCAGAAAAAAAAGTAAAATTTGTGGGTTGAGATAAGAACAGTTTAATAATTGAAACAACATAAAATATAATAATAACAATAATAATACTTGTAGTGAAAAGGAGAGAGGGAGAGAGAGAAAAAGAAAACTCAAGAGAAACAAATTATGCACAATACAATTGCTCACCACCTGCAGGTCCCAGCCAACCTCCTCCCCATCTGTACACTGAACATGGCATTTTATGGTATGGAATGTCCCTTTAACCAGTTCAGGTCACCTGTCTTGGCTGTGCTCCTTCACAGCTTCTTATGCACCTGCTCTCTGGCAGAGCATGGGGAACTGAAAATCCTTGACTTGGAATAAGCACCGCTGAGCAACAACTAACACATGAATTTATTATCAGCATTGTTCTCTCTAAATCCAAAACACATCACTGCACCAGCCTCCAGGAAGAAAATAAACTCTGTCCCTGCTGAAACCAGGACAGCTGAGCTTTGTCGTATTTTATGGGCTACTCAAGAAAGATGCTGTTTTTATGTCAGACTTGGGTTCTCATTTTGTTATTAGCTTGTCTGTTTAGGTTTTAAGTAGTTACCTTTACTGGAAGAGATGGGAATAACTGTAAGTACTAAGATGTTTGGAGGAAAGCAACTACAAAGATGGCGCAAACAAAGTCCTAGTGCAGTGGAGTATAGGAAAAATATATTGAAAAGAGGAAACCTGATAGTGATATCTAGTGCATTGTCAAGGAGCGTTATGAGAGAAGTAGTAGAAACAATGAGCTAAAAACTACAAAATTCGTTCTGGGAGAGTCTTGCACTGTTAGGACTATGAACTAGTTATTTTATGTATGTTGTATTGCTGGGTTTAATGATTAAAAACAAAAGAAAAGAGAGCTAGGGCAGCATTTCTGCCCAAAATCTAAAAGTAATTTGGGCTACAGTTACAGCAGGGAAGGGGGAGAAAAGTTAAGCAAAAAAGATAGAGAAAAGATAAGCAAAAATATGGGGTTTTTGCAGTCATATGTTGTTAACTCAATGCAACACTGCTTTATTTCTTTTTAATTTTTTTTTTTATAATGGCCCAGAATTCCCTGTTATCAGCTACCTTTTTCCTATTGACTTCATCAGTGCTGGGCTTGAGAAGAGAGGTGGTTGCTGACATGGTGTAAGTGTATAGCAGTGGCTGTGTTGAGTAAGGCCAAAACTCTTTTTAGCCTGGTTGTTGGCTCCTGACTGACCAGCAGCACAAGTGCAAGGAAGTGCCACACGTCGTGGGCCAGCAGTCAAGGGCAAAGGACCTGTACCTTCCACGTGGCTGGTTTCTTGTCTCCTTGCAACTCTTGCTGCTTCTCAGTATTGTAATACAGCTCAAGATCCTTCTGCCTACTCTATATCAGCCTAGAGGGGGGACTGGGCATGGGGAAGAACCAAGCTGACAGGTCTTTAGAAAGACAGCTTCGTGCTATCATTGCTCATACAGCTTTCAAATATTGTATAGAGAAGGGATAAATTAGTTATGCGCAATCAGCAAGGACAGAAGAGGGTATTTTGTATACCAAAGGAAACCCAAACATGCTGCAGGTGGCTTTAGACATAAACCTGAAGCTAGCGAGGGTTGGATTTTGGAATTTGTTCCTAACTTCAGGGCTTGAAAAACTTTCTGTGAGTGAAAAAGCGCAATGAACAGGAAAAGGAGGTATTAAGAGCAAGATACTAAGTAAATACTGAGTATTTTGTATCAAGACAAATTGCAACAAAGACAGCTATTCATTATAGTCTGCTTCTGGCGCTGTGTATCCACTAAAGTGGCAACACAAACCAGCGCCAGTATTATATCTTACGTGATCATTCCATTATGTACTCTAGAACTACTCACAAGCTATTCTAGAAAATAAAATTAATCAGAAGCTATGCTTAGGAGGGTTTATTTTTCTGAAACACAGTTTCCTGACACTGCAACCAGTTCTAATTTGTGTTTGTTTGGTTTTTTCTTTTTTTTTTTTATCGTTGTTTTCTTAGGAATTTTGGCTTCTTGGAGAAACAGTAGAAAATGCAAAACGAAATAATAAAGCCTGCTAAATACTTCTCAGAAGTGGAGAAGAGTGTGCTGCTTGCATTAGTTGAAAAATACAAATACGTGCTTGAATGTAAAAAAAGTGATGCAAGAACTATTGCTCTGAAGCAACGCACCTGGCAAGCACTAGCTCATGAATATAATTCACAGCCCAGTGTATCACTACGAGACTTCAAACAGTTAAAGAAATGCTGGGAAAATATCAAGGCACGGACAAAAAAGATAATGGCACATGAAAGGCGGGAGAAGGTAAAAAGAAGTATTAGTCCACTTATAAATACTCACATCGTAGGGAAAGAGAAGATTGCCAGCATAATGCCTGAGCAAATGTACTTTTTGCAGAGCCCACCAGAAGAAGACTCTGAATATCAGCCTGATGCTTCTAGTCAAGGTATAAATGTTGCTGTAATGATGTGAGTAGTATTGCTTTGTATGTGATTTTGCCAGTGATTCTTTTTCAACAGTTCAAATCTCTCCACTTAGCTGTGACTGCTAGATAAAGAAAAGTAATTTCAGAGCTATGATATTACAAGGCTCTATGTATTTCCCTAGGCCTCAGGAATTTAAAAGAGTGTGAGATTTTTCACAATTTTTTTTCTTCTGTTTTTGACATATCCGCTGCTTTGTGGCAAGCATCACAGTTGCTATCACACTGGCTTTTAGTCCCAAGGATATCTTTATGGTTTTTAAAGTACCATTTTGCTGGTTAAAAAAAAACCAAAAAACAAAGCCACCAGCAGCAAACTGATACACAATTGCCTGCTACAAGAGTTCCCTGTAGGCCTTTCCTCTGTTTTCAAGGACTAAAATGAGTATGTAGAGCTAGTTGTATTTCACACTGTAGTCCACACTGGAGAATGGCCTTTCTGAAAAAGTTCAACACTACATTCTTCTTTGTTTGGCAGGCATACCCAGAAGGAATTATTCAATACCAGAAGGGAGGGTGGCTACAATAGTTTCTTGCAAATTTTATTATGTCAGGATCTCACACAGAAGACTGTCCTTGCTCAAAAGACAACAGCAGCTACATTGTTAGATAACATTCTTAGAATATCTCTTTCATAATTGCATTTACCATAATTAATCATTGGGATTTGGATAGGAATGTATTTTGAGACTCTCATTTGCAGTAGTAGTAACTATTCTGTTCCCTGCATAGTCTCTTTATTTCAGAAGAATTGGTAGAGCCTTCTCAAAGTTAGAATAATGTGATTTTTTTCCTAAAAGTATGCACTACTGTGTTTACAATATCTGCAGCAGAAATATGGAAAGAATAAGAAGTGTTCTTCCTGGTATTCCCTCAGTCTTTTGATATTCATGTTGATACTGCCACACCTGACACTCAGATCTTTCAAAATATATTGCAAGTCACATATGGATTTAACTTAAATTGCTGCATTAAGGTTTTGCTCCAGGCAGAGCCACCTAAATTTAGGTGTCCTCTTATAAGTGTCTACATTCACTTTAGTCTTCTGAACTCCCACTACAGCCTTGGAGGTCTTTCAACAGAGCCCCAAGTGGTTCTGTTCAGCCCATTATGCCCTTAGTATTCTGCAGCAGAACTGCATTGGGTAGTGGCTCCTGTGCTTTGTTAGTGGAGCACAAGGTTTAGATGCACGTGTCAGTAACTTATATTACTACATTCCTGTTTCTTGAAGGAAGGGAAGAGAATGCTATAATACTTTTTCTTCTTTTGTTTGCAGAGTCATTTGTTGTGTCAAACAGAGAACTTTGTGATGAAGACAAAGAGCTGGTACATTTTCCAGTATGCGAAGGTACCTCCCAGCCTGAGCCTTCGTGTTCTGATGTCAGAATAGCAGCAGATAAGAACTACAGAAGTAAAGCATCTCAGGAAAGTGCTCTGAAAAAGATGCATGAGGAAGAACATCATCAGCAAATGTCGATTTTGCAACTCCAGTTAATCCAAATGAATGAAGTTCATGTGGCAAAGATACAGCAAATAGAAAGAGAGTGTGAGATGGCTGAAGAGGAACACAGGATAAAAATGGAAGTGCTAAATAAAAAGAAAATGTATTGGGAGAGAAAACTGCAGACCATTACAAAAGAATGGCCTGTATCATCCTATAACAGACCCTTTCCTAATTCACCTTAGAACACAGAAGGGCAGAGAGTCAGTCTGATTTAGCACATTTATGAGTAACACGCACTGGAAAGAGGGTTTTCTACTGTGAATGTACAGTGACAGGATAGGTGCCTGGCTGATAGTGAACACACTATGACTCGTAATGTTTAGAGAAACAGTGGTATAGTTCACCAAGAGGAAAGCTCTAGTGTTCATTTGTAGGTAGTTCTGATTTGTTTAACTCACAGACATGCACAGTGCTCTAAAATGTGAACGTATTTTCCCCTCTCAGAACACCCTTGATTCCTGTGAAATTTAAGGTACTCCGGATATTCTTTCATTGGGTGTTCTTAAGAAAACTTAACAGCTTTAAACATCGGGCTGTAGCATTTGTTTTGATTTCTATCTCTTCCTATCTGCCATTTCCTGAATGAAGGCAAGGCTAGGAATTGCTCTCTGCTATTGAGACAAAAGATGATTGACAGCTATTAGCTGGATCATTGCTGAGGCTTAGGGAAAACCAACTAGTTAATACAGTCCATAACTTATTCTTTATAGAAGACGTGAAAATGAAGAGGGCCACTGTAGTAACAGCCCTCTCCTTCTGAAGAACAGTAATATTTCCCAGCTGTCTGGCTGACTGAGAGAACCATTGTGGAATGGCCATCCAGTTGTTTTAGCCTTGACACTTGAGATGTTAAAAAGAAGGCAACTTCTTCCTCAAAAGTCACTGTGCTTGTTCTTTCATTTCCAGGCCCATCTTGTATTGAAGTAGAATACCCAAACAGGAGGGTCAAATGCTGCTGCCAGCACTGTGTGCTGTTCACCTGAAGTCACTCTAAGGGGAAGAGCTTTTTAAGAATTCATAAAGCTCTCAAAATGCAGTGAGCCAGCAAGTCCATTGGCAATGTCTCCCTCTATCTTCCTATGCAATACTTGATGGTGTAGCAGCTAGCCTGATTATTTCTCCATAACTAGAAGAAAAAACTAAGACTCACCCTCTCTTCCTTCTCATAGGGTGGGAAGCAGTTTAAGGGAATCATTCCTGTCTTGAAGCACTGTTCTGATTTGTTATGTTCTGTCCTGTGCGTTATGGTGGTGTGTTTCTTGCCTTTGCTGTCAGTGAAGGGTGATGGACATGATTTGTATGAAGGCATTCACATGAAGGTCCCCACAGATTTTGGACGTCCAGAATAGTAGATAGTAGGAAAGCACAAATAAAGATAATCTTTACCCTGGCAATCATTAATTCTAGTGGGGCAACAGTTAAGAAGATATAAAATGCAGAACCACACAAGGATTCATAGGAACTTCTGGTGTGTGAAAACCTGTTTTACAGGAAGGTGTACAACCATCATTTGAAGCAGTGAGAAAAATTAACAAAACCATAAATTTTCATTGAAAAATCTGAGTATCACATTATTCAATAAAGTATTTTCAGATCATGACTCCTGAGGGCGACTCCATACAGTGAGAAATGTATTCAAAGCAGAGTATGTTACAAGGCATAAATTCCCAATTACACTTCCATCTCTTTCCCTGGATGTCCGTTCTTGTGGAGTGAGTTCCTTTTGGTTTTGGTTTGGATTGAGTAGGGCTTTTTGTGTGTGTGTGTGTGTGTGTGTGTGTGTGTGTGTGTGTGTGTGTGTGTGTGTGTGTTTTGACCTGTTTTCACTGCTGGTGATTCATCTTTGCAAGCACTGCCATTATCAACCGCAGGACTTGCTGTGGTTAACAGTGTGGTACCTGCGCTACTTCCTTAAATGTGCTAAAACCAGCAATCACAATGGGAGCTATTTATTACAACTCATTTTATATGACACATAAAAAAAAATGCTGGGTTGTTGCAAGATAAAAACTTAGGGCCTGGGTGAAATCTGAAGACAGATCTTTTTGACCACAAACTCAATATTCTTAGAAATTGTCTGTGTAAAAGAAAGTGCAGGAATTCCAAAGAAGGATGTTGTTATGGGCACTTTTTCTGCTGAATGAAAAACACTTTCGGTGGTATAATAACAGTAGAGGCAAAAGAAAAGTTTACAGAAGTGAGGACCTTGTTGTTCTGAGATTGCATCCTGTGGTCTGGAAGATGAGTCAGTTATTTGATTGGTTGTGACAATTGTTCAGGCACCATCCAGGAAAAAAGGTTAGGGAAGATATTTGTCTTAGCCAATTAAGGTATTTGTCATAACCTTCTGCACTTGTTCCAAGGGAAAGTAAATGGAAACCAGGTGTTAGAAGGTAATGAATGGAGACAATTTCAGCACTGTAAAGAGGGCAAGAATAGAGAGACAATCCAGGTCTAGATAGCCCTATGAAAATCATGAAATAGTCAGAGAGGATCTCATAAAATGTGAGATAAGGGTACCTTGAACTCCTGGAAGTTATACGATTGCTCATGAAAGATTATTTTATTTTTATATTTAAAAATCCTTTAAAATAAGCATGTTTTCAAACTGTACTAAGCGTACAATGCCTTGCTTCTTGGTATATTTTCTTATTCTGAGACCAAAAGTTACAGTTCTTAGGCTGAACAATAGACACTTCAGGTTCTAGTTAAAAGAAAGAAGATTGTGAGAGAAAGATTAGACAGAGCCAAGATGAAGGTATGAAAGAAAAAATTATCATTACATGCATAGGGAAAGAATGGGAATGTTACACCTAACATAAATTATACAAGATGGTTTTGTGGTACAGGCAATAGATGGTTCACAGGTGACACAGGCTCTTGCTTTCCCATTTGTAGTTGACTGTTGGTTGCTGTAAAATTGAGTAATAAACACGGAAAAATGTAAAAGATCAACAAGAGTAAGTAATGTATCTCCTTGCCAGGCTTTGGCTTCATAAAGTGATCAATGTGATGAAATTGAAATTACTTGAGAAATTACTTTTGCCTTCGTTGTTGTTGTTGCAATTACTCCCTCTGGTAGTAGGGTTTATCATTTCTTATATTTGACTTTTCTTATATGTGATATAGCCATCTCAGACAATATGTCCATTTGTTTCTATCCCCTTTTTTCTAGCTTATGTCATTCAAATACTTTCACATAATTGTGTTTTCCTGTTAACCTTTTGGCCAATACGCATATTCTCCAGGTTTTTCCACAGATAGAATACAGCAGTATTTTAAGAAGAACATGCCTGTTCTTTTCTGGATTTGCTATAAAACTTTTTGTCAAGAATGACCTTAAAAGATACACAGGGCAAAATGATCCCTTTTAAACTCCATACAATAACATGTGTACCAGATATGTAGAGGCCATTGTTCTTAGCCTCTGTATTCCTATAAAGAGAAACAATGGCCTTCTAGACAAGGTGTGGTGAATTCTTTTATGATGCCCAAATTAACATATGCCTAGCTCCAGGTGCTGTCTTTCCTTGGAGGTAATCTAATTTGTTGCCTAGTATATTTTTTTTTCATGTCTTGATTTTCTTTTCCTACTGCATTTTTTTCTTATATCTCTGTTCACCCTTAGTTTTTAAACCAGCAATATGAGCAGGGAGTTTCATTCAGAGATTGTGTTTTGCTCTTTCCTTCATCTTGCCCTGACTGCCCATATCATTTGAACATGAAATGGGTGCTCCTCTACTGTCACCTTCCCTTTGCACAGAAAGCATGGTTAGTTACCTTTTCCACAAGCTGCCAGTACATTCTGGATTCTGCAGGCAGGCTAGGAAACATATTAGAGGACTTTGAAGAGAGGTTAGTATTGAGAAAGGCCTGCATGAAGAAGAGCACTTCCTCCATTCCACCTCCATGTAACTTGGGAGGAGAGTCTGTGTCCACGAAGTCACTCATTGGGACCAGAGCTAATGCAGGGTGCTGAAGCTGTGTAAGTGATTTTGATTCCTCCTAAATCCTTGGGGTTCTGCAGAAGTTAGGTTTGAGGTTTCCTGGTAAAATACTTCCTTCTTTCTTGGTAGTTGAGGAGTCTCAGTGGAATCCTTTCACAGCTTCCTCAAATGGGAGTTATTACGTTGAGAAACAACTGGCTTCTATTCTACTTCTTTCAATGCCCAGGCTGCTTTATCACCAGAGCAAGGGAGCTTGTGGCTTGCCACAAATCCTCTCTCTGAAGCTCCTTCCTACCCTGCAGAGAAGTGTTCAGGCAGGGCTGAAAACACAACCCTCCCCAGCCACTGCTCAGAGAAGAGATCCTTACAGAGCAGGTGCACCTCGTGTGGCTGAGCTCAACACTCAGATTTTGTGCTCAGCACTCAGACTTTGAACTACTGCTGCTCAGGGTCACAATATTCCCATTGCAGCCCTGTGAGCAGAGAAAGAGGGATGGCTCAGGGCTGCCTTTTTCTGAGCATATAGTGCATGTGAGGATGTTACACTGAATTTTGTTTAAAAATTAAACAGGGAAACATTTAAAAATTAAGGAGCATTCATCTCTCTGTGTTTCCAATACCAAATTTTAGCAGTCTCCCAAGGATTTGTATGATTGTGTAGGTGTTTTTCAATGATCTTTTGTAGTTTTATTTCTGGTTGAAGTTACAGTGGCTTTTATGTGTCCTTTTCCTTCTTCCCCACTTGCATTGTTACGTTCCAGTTTTGTTCTGAATGTGATTACAGTCTGTACAACCACACATTCATGCAGTATCATGTTTTCAGGTATTTTTCTCATTATGTCATTGAAATAATAAACTGCTACACATTTGTATTTTGCTACTCTGTGGGTAGAGGAATTACATGTAAATCTTAAAATAACATCTAATTTATTTTTTTTCTGGACAAGTCCCGCACTAGTGGTCCTGTGATTTCATATTTTGAGCTAGCTTGCTGTTTTGGATAGTCTGATGCCCCTTAGTTGCTTTCATAAGATAATTACCAGTCTTTCCACATTATTTTTCTGTTTCTTCCCAAGAAAGGTGACTGTATACTCACACATCGTCACTCTTCCTGAATTTTGATAAAAAGGAAGATGACCATTTGTTGCGATCTGTAAGAACAGGATGTTTTCCAGTGAATGCAAGCAGTGGTCTGTTTCTGGAATCACAGACGGACTTCTGTGCTGATGATCAGCTTGATGCTCTGATATCTAAATAAGGTGCACATAGAAATATGGACAGATTGCTGTACCTAGAACTAGATCTATAAAATAGAGATGTACTACCCATGGCTCTGAAAATTTTACATTTCTGATGGTGAAAGGATCAGGCATCTGACAACATTATCAGTCATGTTAATAAATTAAAAACTTACAAAGTCAAAAAGAAAAAAAGGGCTGTTTTTCAGAATGATTCGAAATGAAGGCAGCTTTTAGTTGTCCCAAGAGATAACATTGTCACACACGTCAAACAATTTCCCCTCATTCACTTCTCTTTCCTTTAAGACTCTGGACATTTTTATCATAGCATTCACAAGTGCCTGACAATAAGAAAAGTAGCTTCAAGTAGGAATCACACCAGAGTTATTAGACCTCACTCTTTGTAAAACTGAAGTTGGATGGTTTTCCAAGACTACATTGTCCAGAAACACATGCACACACACTGTGGAAAACCATGTGAAATCTGTCCAACACATAGTCTGCCAAATGGCATAGGATATACAGCAAGGAAAATGTTGTCCACTCCATGGCTGTGAGTTGTATAACTATTCTGAAGAGTGTATGGATTAATCTCACCAGACAGTCAACCTCTCTAAGAATCAAGAAGTGTTTTTGCCAAATCTAATCTGTCAAAAGAGCCACACAAAAAAAAGGATCAAAAAAAAAAGGAAAATGAAGCACTCAAACTGCTAGAAGCAATCTGTTCCCTTCTTGATGAAGAGCTGGCTAGATACAAAGGCTACACCAGATATATATCTATTTAGGGAAACAAGTCTTTGTTTTACAGAAATAAGGCAAGATAGATTTGTAGATTGTAATTTTATTTAGGTAAATTTTTAAAATGTTGATTAAGATTGTTTTCCTTTTGTTCAGTCCAGCTTCAGAATCGTTGTGTGCTTCAGTCTCCAACCAACTGTTAGAGCACCTCATGAATCAAATTTGTTTGGCAAGAGAGTTGAAGTGGGTTTGTATTCAGCACAACTTGAGATTAATTGTATTCCACAAATCTTCAGATATTCCTTCTCAGATATAAGAGGCTGTTCTTGGAGAGACTTGAACCTGAAACTAATTATATGCCTATTTAGTAGTAATTTATTTTTTATATGGTACTTTCAAGTGTCCATATGAGCTGCTCGAGCTCTCCCCATTATTTGGTCATGTACAGATCCCTTTTCTCTTTTAGAG